TTTTAACTTAATATAACTTACTTCCCTTTCTTTTAATTTTTTAAATTTTAAATATCTCTTTAAGTGATGAAAATTTTTCCCAAACACTTATAACTTTTTATAGATAATTTTTAAAATTAATACTGTACCCTATTATTTTTGTTTTATTATCAATTACAATTTTTCATTACAATCCACTTTCACTCGGTTTTTGCCCCCCCGGGGAAACATTAAAAAAAAAAATAAAAGACTATTTAAATTAAAGGGTTAAATTTAATTTTAAAAAAACTAGAAAACATATCCAAAAATAAGTAACTTTGCCTCCTAAACCCTCCTTTACCAAACCCCAAAAATTTTTTACAAAGTTTCCCACCCAAATTTTGGCGGAGAAAGGGTCATCTAACAAGATTACGTCACAAACCTTGCCCGTAGTTTTTACACCAATGTGATACCCAGCCACTACCGCTGCTGAGGGCACTAATATAAAAACTGGGGGACCCAGCTTATGGAACTCTTTTACAAAGGGCTACTTTGTATTTGTGGAAAGCGGGGAATTAGTTCATTTAATTTTTAATTTTTTTTAAATTTTTTTTTAAAAAAGTTCACATTTTTGTAAGTTAGGAAATTTGGGTTTGTTTAGTCCACTGATCCTTTAAAGATTTTTAATATTATGATTTCAATTTTAAAAAAATTAGAGCAAATCACATATCAGAATGGCATATAAAATCAGAATTCTATAAATTTTAAACTTTTAGGGAAAAGTTCAAATGATTTGGGCGGTTTTCCGAAGATATCGCTCCCCAAGCAAAAGAGCATGAAAACAAACTTAGTGGGCTTTCGGGGGCAAATTAATTTCAGTCAAAATTTTTTTTAAATTTGTTAAAGTCTCCATTAGTCCCCCCTTTTGAATTTTAAAAAAACTGGGTTCTCCAGACCAGATCGTAAATTCTCAAGACTGAAGGCTAAATAATTTTTAAAAGGGCACTGGAAAAATTTCCCGACTTCCCTTGGGGGGCTACTTGAGGGCTTTTTGAAAAATACCTTTAGGTAAAATTTAAGGGAGGGGGCGGGGGCGACTACCAATGACAACATTGAGGAGACATATTGCATATATACGCTTATTTTTAATCAGATTGATCTAGTAACACGAGTTGTAGCGCAAGGAAAATAAACGCATTATCAATTTTTCTTATTACTTTTGTATTTATTTGTCTGAAATGAGATGCTCAGTAATTTGAAATTGGCGTTGGGTTTCTTTTGTTTTTGACGATCATTTATGGAAATATTCACAAAAGAGTGCTTGCCGAGTGCTTAAAGGGGGGGGGGGGGGGGGGGGGGGGGGGGGGGGGGGGGGGGGGGGGGGGGGGGAGGGAGTCTTCCTCCTGGGACCTTGGTCCTCCTCCTGGTTCCTCCTCCGGACCTCCTGGGTCCTCCTACTCCTCTTCATCATCCTCCTCTTCCTCCTCAATCATCAGTCCTCCTCCTCAGTCCTCCTCCTCATCCTTCTCGTCATCTTTCCTCCCTCCTCATCAGGTCCTCCCCAAGTCCCCCTCCTCCTCAGTCCCTCCCCCAGTCCCCCATCCTCCTCCTATTCAGTCCTCATCCTCCTCCTCCTCAGTTTCTCCTCAGTCCTCCTCCTTGTAAGTCCTCCTCCTGAGTCCTCCTCCTCTTCCTGAGTCCTCCTCCTCCTAGGTCCTCCTCCTTCTCCTCCTCCTCCTCAGTCCTTCTCCTCTCTCCTCCTCCTCCCTCTCAGTCATCCTCCTCAGTCATCCTCCTCAGCCATCCTCCTCAGCCGTGCTCCTCAGCCATCCTCCTCAGCCATCCTCCTCAGCCATCCTCCTCAGCCATCCTCATCAGGTCCTCCTCATCAGTACTCCTCCTCCTAGGTCCTCCTCCTTCTCCTCCTCAGTCCTTCTCCTCCTCCTCCTCAGTCCTCCTCCTCCCTCTCAGTCATCCTCCTCATCCATCCTCCTCAGTCCTCCTCCTCCTCCTCAGTCCTCATCCTCATCCTCCTCTTCAGTCCTCCTCCTCCTGGGTCCTCTTCATCCTCCTCCTCTTCCTCAGTCCTCCCCAGTCTTCCTCCTGGGACCTTGGTCCTCCTCCTGGTTCCTCCTCCGGACCTCCTGGGTCCTCCTACTCCTCTTCATCATCCTCCTCTTCCTCCTCAATCATCAGTCCTCCTCCTCAGTCCTCCTCCTCATCCTTCTCGTCAGTCTTCCTCCTCCTCATCAGTCCTCCCCAAGTCCCCCTCCTCCTCAGTCCTCCCCCAGTCCCCATCCTCCTCCTATTCAGTCCTCATCCTCCTCCTCCTCAGTTCTCCTCAGTCCTCCTCCTTGTAAGTCCTCCTCCTGAGTCCTCCTCCTCTTCCTGAGTCCTCCTCCTCCTAGGTCCTCCTCCTTCTCCTCCTTCTCCTCAGTCCTTCTCCTCCTCCTCCTCCTCCCTCTCAGTCATCCTCCTCAGTCATCCTCCTCAGCCATCCTCCTCAGCCGTGCTCCTCAGCCATCCTCCTCAGCCATCCTCCTCAGCCATCCTCCTCAGCCATCCTCCTCAGCCATCCTCATCAGTCCTCCTCATCAGTACTCCTCCTCCTAGGTCCTCCTCCTTCTCCTCCTCAGTCCTTCTCCTCCTCCTCCTCAGTCCTCCTCCTCCCTCTCAGTCATCCTCCTCAGCCATCCTCCTCAGTCCTCCTCCTCCTCCTCAGTCCTCATCCTCATCCTCCTCTTCAGTCCTCCTCCTCCTGGGTCCTCTTCATCCTCCTCCTCTTCCTCAGTCCTCCCCAGTCCCCCTCCTCCTCCTCCTATTCAGTCCTCCTCCTCCTCCTCCTCAGTTCTCCTCAGTCCTCCTCCTTCTCATTCCTCCTAAGTCCTCCTCCTGAGTCCTCCTCCTCTTCCTCCTGAGTCCTCCTCCTGGTTCATCCTCCTCTTAGTTCCTCCACCTTCTCCTTCTCCTCCTCAGTCTTTCCCCTTCTCCTCCTCCTCCTCAGTCATCCTCTTCAGTACTCCTGAGTCCTCCTCCCTCTCAGTCCTCCTCAGTCCTCTTCCTGAGATCTCCTCCTCCTCCTGAGTCCTCCTTCTGGGTCCTCCTTCTCCTAGGTCCTCCTCTTTCTCCTCCTCAGTCCCACTCCTCCTCCTCAGTCCTCTTCCTCCTCCTCCCTCTCAGTCATCTTCCTCAGCCATCCTCCTCAGCCATCCTCCTCAGTCCTCATCAGTCCTCATCCCTCCTCCTCCTGGGTCTTCCTCCTCTTCATCCTCCTCAGTCCTCAGTCCTCCTCCTCATCCTTCTCGTCAGTCCTCCTCCTCCTCAGTCCTCCCCAGTCCCCCTCCTCCTATTCAGTCCTCCTCCTCCTCCTCATCAGTTCTCCTGAGTCCTCCTCCTTCTCATTCCTCCTAAGTCCTCCTCCTAAGTCCTCCTCCTGGTTCATCCTCCTCTTAGTTCCTCCACCTTCTCCTTCTCCTCCTCAGTCCTTCTCAGTCCTCCTCAGTCCTCTTCCTCAGATCTCCTCCTCCTCCTGAGTCCTCCTTCTGGGTCCACCTCCTCCTAGGTCCTCCTCTTTCTCCTCCTCAGTGTTACTCCTCCTCAGTCCTCTTCCTCCTCCTCCCTCTCAGTCATCCTCCTCAGTCATCCTCCTCAGCCATCCTCCTCAGCCATCCTCCTCAGTCCTCATCCCTCCTCCTCCTGGGTCTTCCTCCTCTTCATCCTCCTCAGTCCTCAGTCCTCCTCCTCATCCTTCTCGTCAGTCTTCTTCATCCTCAGTCCTCCCCCAGTCCCCCCTCCTCCTCCTATTCAGTCCTCCTCCACCTCAGTTCTCCTCAGTCCTCTTCCTTTTCAGTCCTCCTGAGTCCTCTTCCTCTTCCTCCTGAGTCCTCCTCCTGGGTCCTCATCCTCCTAGGTCCTCCTCCTTCTCCTTCTCCTCAGTCCTTCTTCTCCTCCTCCTCCCTCTCAGTCATCCTCCTCAGTCATCCTCCTCAGCCATCCTCCTCAGTACTCCTCAGTCCTCCTCCTTCTCTGTCCTCCTCAGTCCTCTTCCTGAGTCCTCCTCCTGAGTCCTCCTCCTCCTCCTCCTGGGTCCTCCTCTTCCTGGGTCCTTATCCTCCTAGATCCTCCTCCTCAGTCATCCTCCTCAGCCATCCTCCTCAGCCATCCTCCACAACCATCCTCAGTCCTCCTCCTTCTCAGTCCTCCTGAGTCCTCTTCCTGAGTCCTCATCCTCCTCCTTCTCCTCCTGAGTCCTTCTCCTGGGTCATCCTCCTCCTAAATCCTCCTCTTTCTCCAATCATACATCTACGTCTCCAGTGTCTCCAATGTCTCCAAAAGCTTTGTCTCCAATGTCTCAAATGTCCCCAATGTCCCCCCCCCCCCCCCTTAAAATAAAGATCACCAAGTCTGTTCACAGAACGGCTGTTATAAATACTCATTCACCCATCATCTAACATCTTTAAGTGTATTAGGAGGGTAAGTCGAAGGGTTAATTCATGATTTTTCATTCGATTATAAGATTCAGATAGTTCAGCGAGTCGGCTACTTCTACCTTCAAACTTCAATTTACCTCAATCTGAACTGACTTGTACAGTGGTAGAACACATTACAACCGGGCTTATCATTTTACTTTTAAGTCAGGTTTATCCTACTCTTATCTTGGACAAAACATCTCGATCGTATCGTTATTAAACTAACTTGGAAACCATAAATAACTGTCAAAAATTCTGGGGACTTATGGGGACAAATGGTGAATTACGTCAACGAGTTGACCTCCAGTCCCCATGATTTTTAGTCCCCAAAAGTCTCCATTGGTAGTCATTGGCCCCCCCCCCGGATGGTTATTAAAAGTCAGTGTTACCTGTTTGCTTTCAAGAAGTACTGTTAATAAATAAACGGAGCAGTCGAGTATAGAAGGTTAATGTAGAGGCAAATAATTGAAAATAAGATAATAACTCAACCAGAAGCACACGACAGTGCAGTCACTGTTATACAGGGCCCCTTATACACTGTATATTATTCTAAAACGATATTTATCAGGTATTTGGGGTGTCAGTGAACAGGAAGCAGCGTACAAGTTACCTTTGAAAGGGAAACGAAAACGTAGCGGATCTCTTTCTGGTAGTGTACAACATATACATTATACATTATACATTATACATTAAATTGAAGTACTCTTCTGTAACTAATCACAGGATTTCAATTTGAAACAAAAATTAATAAGGTAATAGCAACACCTCCAGTGTGTTCAAACACATGATGTCACGTGGTGTTGTTATGACGTCACGTGGTGTTGTGATGACGTCACGTGGTGTTATAATGACGTCACGTGGTGTTATGATGACGTCACGTGGTGTTGTGATGACGTCACGTGGTGTTGTGATGACGTCACGAGGTGTTGTGATGACGTCACATGATGGTAATAGCAATACATTTAGGTATACTAACCAGCGTGTTCAAACACAACAAGACGACGACTAAACACTCTGTTGTTTTGAGAACCAGACCAACTTTAACTAGAAAGTCCGTCTCTAACCAAGATCTCAGTGTTGAGAATAAGATGAGAAATATTCCCATACACGGAGGTGGAGTATTGCTTCTTATTTGGATGTGCTGAATTGCATAATGCTGCTTAGCTATTTAACTTTCATCCTCGAATCCCTGTTAATTTACTTCTCCAGTTCTCTATTGTATTCCTTTAAATATGGCCTGACTCAAATATTTATAACAAATTACCTCTGTATAAAATTAAACTTCGTTTAAGTTTCTCCACAGATCTGTAACTTTACTCCCTCACAGATCTGTCGTTCTCTACTCCCTGTATCAGAACACCTGGGCCTGCTCCACGTGGACCTGTTATCGGAACTCCTCTTCTCACGGCACAACGCAGGTATACAGCTAGTTATAATTTATACAGTTCCCTCCATATTATCATACGGAGTTTTAACTCGCTCGACTTGCTAAACTTTTATAGTCTCAAATCATTCGAATAGTTTTATTTTAATTCACTTGTCATGATCCTAACATTCACCATGTAGAGTCCATTGTTATGTACTGTACAGGTAATCTAAATGAGGAGATCTAACAATTATAGGAATATCGAGAATATCTGTCGGGGGGGGGGGGGGGGGGGGGGGGGGGGGGGGGAGGGGGTGGGGGGTTCGCATATTAATAGTAGTAGGACAATAATACAACTTTGGAATAAAGTGAATTTTAATTCTTCGTAGAAGCTTTGAGGGGATTATTTAAAACATAAGAAAGAAGAGTAATAAAATTACAATCATTTGAGAAATGAAGGAAGGATTACGATGTTTAATAAAGGATAATTAAGGATTAACCTTCAGCAGTTTAACAACTCTTATAGTTGTGCAGATGTAGCAAGTAGGATTGTAGCAATGCTAGTAACATTATGTCATAATTATGTTGACCGTAGGTACTGTTTAAGAAGGAACATGACCGCGGACGGCCGGTAAGTAGCATGGACTCTTAGGAAGCTGAATAAAATAATTATTATCAAATCTGATTTAATTTATTGTTACTTATAACTTTAGAAATTAGTTAATTTATGTAAAATTTAAATGAATTCCAACACTAACCTGCACTTGTAGACATGAGCCATTGATTAAAAATATAATTTGAAAAAAGAATAATTTGAAATTGTTAATGCATGGTATGACGCGAATGACGTTACTGGCTGTACTTTTGTCACCAAATGCTATGATCTGAAATCTACTAAATCATGAGATTTATAGTTAAAATAAGATAGTTCTGATGATCGATACATTTGATATAATAATAATATATAATAATATTATCGTGAAACTTGAAGTTCATACTTTAGTTTCTATATCGCTCCTATCAGTAAGTTATTTTAACCTACAGTTCCACAACTGAATATTATTAACTTTCAGCCAATATAAGTGACCATCTTGTTAATGATCAGATATCGCTTGTAACATCCACTTGAGTTACTTACTTTAAAGTAGCTCCGAGAAAAACAACCTGTCTTGTCAAATGACGTCATGTGATTTAGTGATGACGTCACATGTTGTTTTGATGACGTCACAAGTAACTCCGGGCAATATAACATGTCTTGTCAAATGACGTCACGTGGTTTAGTGATGACGTCACATGTTGTTTTGATGACGTCACAAGTAACTCCAAGCAATATAACCGGTCTTGTTACCTGTCTTGCTACAGTTACACGTTTTATAAATACGGAATGCAGATATTATAATGATATTTATGTTATTACACATATTTCAGTTATTTCCAGTATTTGTTATAATTATTTTTCCACAGTTTTATAATATTATTAACATTGCGACTCTTTATATGTTTAAAGTTGTCATGTTGTATGCCCGAGTAGATTATTTAATACCCTAGTACAGATAATTTTTACCATAGGGATATGCGCTGTATTATTATATAAGTCTGGACAAAAAGTCTTGAAAATAGACTACAGAACAGCGTTGCTGACACGTCACGTGATGTTTTGATGACGTCACGTGGTATTCGAATGACGTCACGTAGTTTTGTGACGACGTCACGTGATATTTCACAAGAAATGTTCCAGGAAAGCGTTATTGAGACAGACTCCTGTGGATCCTAGGAAGAAACCAGCCAAACCGAATAACACAACAGTAAATGTGACGGACTTTCCCTCACCAGTAGATCTAGGTGAGTGTGGTGTTGTGACATCACGTGGTTTTTTATGACGTCACGTGATGTTTTGATTACGTCACGTGTTGTTTTGATGTTACGTCACGTGATGTTTTGAAGTTACGTCACGTGTTGTTTTTATGACGTCACAACGTTCTACAATGAATGGCACAATGTTATCTATTATCTATACTAACGGTATCGGCTATGTCCGTCTACGAACTATTAGTTGTGCTTGAAAATATAAATTTATGTTTTTAAATGTTCCGCGCCCTCCATAAAAGATAACTTTTCGCGCCCTCCATAAAGTTAATGCACATATATACACACAATAACAGCCAGCGACTTCACGTTGCATTATAAGGAGTAAGCTTTATTGTATTTAACCACTACATTATCACAGATCCCCCAAACAAGAGATCTAAGTTTGACATGTCACCACAAGCTGATCCCGTTAAGAGGAAGAACTTTAAACAGAGGCTCAGCGAGGGATTGTGAGTGTGGCATCTTATTGTAAAGTTATAATACCTTGTTATTTTACCTTCTTATAATGATTTGGATGATTGATCTGGTTAAGATTTTTTAATTTCTGTGACGTCACGTTGTGTTGTGATGACGTCACGTGATTTTATGGTGGTGTTTCGATAATGTTAGGTGACAAGGGACTGATGGAACATCCCATGCAGATGTCGTCGTCGAATACAATGTAAAATGAACACACTTTCAGGACATCACGCTATCGTAAGTCGCGACTAAAGCGCAAGAGATCACGTGTTCACCGCAGTTCTGAGGGCAGTACAGTCACCACCACCACCTCGACCACTACAGATGTTACTGATGTTACAGACGAACAGACAGGTTGTGACACTCCACTTACTGATAAAAAGAAGAAAGAGAAGGCACCTGTCTTCTGCTTCAAGGTATGTTTCATATTTTCATAGATTCTTCTTGTTTTTATGCAGCACCGGATTTTCCTAACTAAATCACGGAATTTTCCTAATCACGTATTGGAAATTAACTTTTTGGGGCTCATCGATTTTTCTGATCTTCTTATGCAATATGCATGGGTAATATAATGGTGGTATGAGTGTTAACGTATGTAACGTATTTAAAAATATATAATATAATAACTAAAATTCTTATCATGTCCAGGCAAAGCCTGGTAGTTTTAACGACCAACAAAAGAGGTTAACATACACAGCGGGGTTGTCAATTAACAACATTAACAACTCTGAAGTGGTTGTTAACAACTGTAACGTTGAGCCCAATCTGGAGTCTCCTGTACAACCTGGTTAGTTCCACAACCACGTGACTACCTTATAAGGAGTGTTGTGTCTTTCAATTTGTTCAGATATTCTGTGAACTATTCCAATCTTTTAAAATTTGTTCAGATGTAGTTGAAGGCTGATCATGCTTGACAATTTGGATTCCTCTTTGGGAAGTTTCCCATGGATAGTTATGATATTTATCATTGGTATTTGTTGTTATCGACGTATTTTTCAGAACTAGGAGAATATTCTCCGTCAACTTATGTGAAGCAGCTAGAACATGGGGCATCAACACCTGGAATAACTGACACTACAATCAGTAAGAAGAAGCTGTTCCCCTCTCCTCGGGTGAGTTACTCATGATGTACTTGAATTTTGCTATTCTGTTATTTGCGCGCCATTTTGTGGACTCAGCAGGAAACGAAACATGCTGTCACGGTTTATAAGCTTGTTAACGTAGGGCGCGTTGAGTGGTTTGTGTTGAAAGTTTTCTTGTTTTCGCGCCGTGCGGTAAATTCGAAATTGCATGAATTTAATTTATGTACGTAATCGTAAATCATATTCAAGTTTGGATACAAATTATAATGGGCTGCTAACGTGAACTAAAGACTAAGTTTCAAGCGACAAACTATGGTCTAAGACGCCAATGTTAGACAGACTTTTTGATGGGAGAAATGAGGAGTATATCATAGTAGGATTTAACGGAAATGTGGGACCAATATTTAAATCACCCTGCAACCTCAGTTGGACGTATCTATCGAGTATCATCCCGCGAAGAAGAGTCACATGATCCCAATATCACCTAACGTAAACCTGCACAGACGAAGGGACTCTTATCTTCAGAGTTGCCAGGTCACAGAGGAGGTAAAGGTAGATGCCGCCCCGCCCCGCAGGAGGAGCCCCAGACTCAGACGATCTGCTCCAATCAGTTTAGCTAATGTTCAGGTGTGTTGCTTTCTTTAATTGAGAAGTTTATATGAACCTCAGTCCACAGACTTAGTGTTTTCTGTTGATTGTTTTGCCAAGTGATTACGTAATATGTGAACGACCCCTAAGTACAACTGGACCTGATAAACACCCCCACTAATAAACCCAACCTCCGCCAGGTCACAAACACACCCGTCTCTCGACGTTCACCTCGTCTGGCTGGCCTACCCCTCAGTCCCCCCAAAGTCCGGTCCGTCTCCGGGGACTCCTTCACAGCTGCTCGTCACAGCGTGTCTCTCAATGCTATTAATATTACTCCGCAAACTTTCAGTAGATCTAGCATGAACAAACTCCAGCTTTCTCTCCATCAGAGTTTCATTAAACTGTATTGCTAAGTCCCCTTACGGGAATGGTAGCAAGGCATCACCCGGGTGCGAGAAACTGAGGTCCAGTTTATCGTCAACCAAATCTGGAACCTCTGATGGAACTATTTTCTCAGTCTGATTTATCGAATACCCGGAATGAGACCTCAGATTTGGCTAACAATATGACTGATTTGTTTACCTCACGCGAAATAACGAGACTTGACATGAGCTTGAACGTTCGAGAGTTTGATAAGAATTTCTGTCAACAACTTGCACAATCAACTGAAAAATTGGCCGCTCTCCAGCAAAAATTGAACTTTGACTCGCTTGATGCAGACATTCCAGAGTCTGGCTCAGATAACATTGGTGAAGGGCAGGTCACTGGGGAGGTGGAATTTGAAGACTCAGTAATCATATCAAAACCAAACGCCAGCTATAAAACTCCCGATGAAACACTGAACATTACCGGTATTAATGAGTCTCACATGCCCTATATTACTCAAAACATGTCTAATTTCTTTGGAAACAACACCACATTTCAACTGGATCCTGATTCCAGTAGGGTAGATTTTCCCAAGTTCGGTGCTCTCCCTCAGTTGCCGCCAATTATTGCCCTAGAAGAAAACCCCCTTGCGGAGAAATCCCTGTCATCCGAATGCTCTGACGCTAGATCAATGTTATCCGAACTTGAAATATCGGAATGTAGATCTCGTGATGTTACCCTGAGATTGAGCTCTGATGTGAGTGTCACGACTAGAAATCCGAGCAAAGCTCCACTCAACTTATCAATCGAGCCGAACTGTTCCAAGAATCTCACGGAATCTCCCTCGGTTCAGGCGATCTTTGAAGACTCTATTAAGTCACCACCAAAAATTAGTAGAGTGATCATGCCTGAAATGCCGGCTTTTCAACTGGAATCCTTAGCGCTTAGTACTTCAGATGTTTCTCCACCCCAAGACCTGGTTCAACTCTCTCGCTGGATAGGTAACTTTTGTAATGAATTCAATATTCCTGGTATAATGAAAAAGTCGTTTATTTATCGGATCAAATTTTCCAAAGGATGTCAAACATCAGTTTTGCTGTGAGACTAAACAAATTGGTTCATTTTTGATAACACCCGACTTTCAGGAAACAGTACAAGAAATTTCCTGCAGAAATCGACACTGAACACGGTCAAACGTTTACCCAATTTCTTTTGACGAACCAAACACTTCGGCAAATAGTTCAGGTTCTTGAACGAGTTTTCTGGGTCTTCAGATCTAACTCCCATGCAATCGATAAAGTCAAGTGTCATTCTGAGAGATCGGCAAGGTTCCAGCTTCGCACCCACAACTCCTCTTAACCTCCCGGAGCAGCAGAAAACGGACTCAAACGGGCACTTGTGGTCCGGAAGCAAGCCACAAATCTGACCCTTGAAAGTAATCTGAGTGTTTCGGGGAAACAACGGGACGAAACCTGCTGCCTCAATAAATAACAGAACTATCAATGCTGATGAACAAATTTCATCTGTACCAAGTTATTGTCCGATTACAGTAAGTTCGGAAACAGATCCCGGACAGTTTAGTAGAGACTGGATTAAGCAAGTGCTTCAAGACGACCAAATATCAAGCACAGTTCAAGGTACGAACATTAAATTAAACCTTCAGAACTTGTTTTTATCAAAATATTCAGAGATTAGAATAAGTAAATTCAGGGCTTTTTATCACATATCAGAATTGATCCCATCCATTCTTATCACTTGTGAGTTACCAATGTGTTTCTCAGGTAGTCCTGTTAAAGAGAACATACCACCAGTCTCCACCTCCGTGAAAGAGAACATAGCACCAGTCTCCACCTCCGTGACACCCAACCAACCTTGCTCAAACACCATCACCCCTAACGTCACCCCCAATGTAACCCCTGCCAAGCCTGCTCGTACACCAAAACACAGTGGTGAAGTGGACATGAACAAGATCAACATCACACCTCGAACTAAAATACCGAGGGGTTTTACTAAAAACCTGGCGAGTCAGTGGGAGAATATGAACAGGTATTTTGGGGGTTGATAACATGGTTGCTACTTATTCATGGATTGTTGATAGCCTGCTTTGTTGGCGAACATGCAGTGTTTGAACATGTAATATTATATAGTTTTTTCGCATTAAGAATGTGCCCTTTTTGTAAAGAATCTTCTATCGCAGTGATTAAATGCACCAGGCCGGGGACTCGGTCAACAACTACAAGGAAAACTAGGATACCCTTTACGCAACGCTAGCAGGTAGAGACTAATTGATTAATTAATAATTAGCAATTATCATAGATTATTTATCATCATGCTTCATTGAATGAATTAACGCTTTTTTGGGTAGTAAACGTTGTCTGTCTGATAATTGCTTTATGAATTTGATTGGGGACTGGCCTCTTAATTAAATGTACTTTATCCTTTATCCTTCCCCCCGAATAATAAGATTTAATTTCAGGGCTGGTTCAAACAGCAGAACAAATAAAACAGATGCCGTCCCCCCCTCAGTCCACCGTGTCCCGCAAACTGAAAAACTGGTAATCAGATCACTGAGTCTGTGCGGCGCGCGGACCTGCACGTGCAGCTTCAGTCAAATCAGTTGTGAACCTACTCGAGTTTTAACCAGGACCAAGTCGGACAACGCCGGTAAAAGATCAGGTAGTAGCCGGCCTGCTTGGAGGTTGTAGATACATGAACTGGTGACGATTTCTGCTCTTCTCGGTCATAACACCGTGAAGAAGACCTACCTAGTAGTAAACAATGACTAAACTAAATTTTGCAGTGATTTTTTTTGTTAAACAGCCCACTTTAAAGCGGAATGTTTCTTTTTAATTTAAAATTGTTAAGGTAAAATTAAATTTATTGCGGGGTTAAATTTCGTTTTGTTCCTTTTATTTCGAAATATCGGGTTTTTTTTTTTCAGACGGCCCTTGAAGCCTTTTTCAACCCAAAATTTAAGAAGTTCTTCGCTTATATCGTAACTATAAAAAATTTGATACATCCAAATGGCTAAAAATTGTTTTTCGGCGTCCCTGATCTTCTTTGCATATTATTGGCGTTCAAAAGTTATTCCGTTCCTTTTCCCGAGAAAAATTCACTTATTCTTCAAGAATAATTAGAAAACTGATAGCCCTTTATTCCATTAATTTCGATTTTTTTTATTGTTTAAAATTTCAATTAAATTGTTTCATTGCTCTTTGGAGAAAATGCTTGCTTTTTTCGCCTTTTAACTGGTGTTTTTTTTTCCCTGATTGTAAAAAATCGCAAATCTGTTTTCTCCTTCGCCCATTTTAATCGTGGGATGATATTTGGGATGATGTTTGGGCAACGTCTGCCAACTAAGGGCCATCTACTTAGGACGTCCGCCAAAATCGCAGATATTCAGACCACTCCCCCCCTGCAGTGGCGTACGTTGCTTGTTTGTGCCCCCCCCCCCCCTCCCGCCGAGAAAGCGCCTCCTCCATCCTCCCCTTTTGGTGCCCTCCCTAAAATTGAACAAATTAGGTGATTTTAGAGGATACGCCTGTAAAATCTCTAAAGAGTGAGTATCTACAATCTAGAGCAAAACGCGCAGTTTTGCTAGTAAAGTTAAGTTTTCGAACTTGTCCCACATTCAAACGGACGATTTGCCCCCCCCCCCCCCCCCCCGCACAGCGGGGTCAGCGGAGCCCTTCTATTCGTTACGTCACTGTCCCCCTGTCCGAATTTTCAAAACCACCGGACCAGCCACGTGCGCGCCCAAGTTCTAAACGCGCGCACAAAAGATCATAAAAAGATGGATTGTCTTTCGCGCTCCGCGATTTGAACATGTGCCAAGATTTGAACATGTGCCAATGGCAAAACAAATACTGATCAGACTAATTAATATAATTATTGGGGTTGTGTCTACAGTAGTATTCGTCAAAATACTCATAACTCACCAGAGAAGTTTTATGTCACATTCGGTAACTAATTCACGACACAAAACACACGATTTGCTGTCAACCATTGTCTCCTGATCACACACTATATTATATAATATAATTAATTAATTATGTCCGATAATTAAATCCCCGGAAAGTGGTGAGCTCTGAACGCTGATATTCCCCGCAAGAGTCGCAAGAGTATAACTGCGAGTCGTCCTGATTAAGCAGTGTAGGAAGTTTCAAAACAATAACAGTTGCACACGATACATAACACACTTTATTGTATGTTGTGTATATCACATTACACATTATTGCATTCTAAGCCCAGGTTGATAATTATGGGCAAATACTCCTTGGCTTAGTTTCGTGTCACCGCTATCCCCTCCGCTTGAACGTCGGGAAATATCGTGTGTAGCACTCAGCAGCCAAGGTATCATTTTATACATCACACATTAAATGTGATTTAACACGTCATTTTCCACCAGAAGCAGTTATTTTTAGATAAAACACCGAACAGTTTCAATTATGCAGACTTTCAGTGTGACCTTGGTAAAAATAGCTAACTCTGACAGTCAAACAAAATGTTACATTGTCTCAAAAGCGGGTTCTCGAATTTCATTCTTACAAAAACCAATTTACCAGCGGTGAGATTAAGTTTGACAGTGGTCCTGTCCAATAACTATCTAGCATTTGCATCACGTGTCTTGGTTTCCTCCAATGAGAGAGAATTTGAGCGCTAGAAAACTATCGTGCCTTTCGGTTAACAAGAAAAACTCGTGAAATTTCCTTTAAAAAGAGTTAAAAAACCCAAACACACGGTGTGAATATAACTGATAAGGTATAGAATAATATACTTAGTTGAGCATAGAACTTATTCAAGATAATGCACACAAAATAATCAACACACTAGATGAAGTCACGCTCAAGGAGCCATCGGCGATTTATTACAGTTTTTATTAGTACGATCTAATATTATATTAGATTGATTTATTGAAAGGGGAGTGTCAAATGAAGTCAAATGTGATAAAGCACAATCAATGTAATCCTACCTACCCATGTCTCTATGTCACCTATGTATGTCGATGGTACATTGATTTTAATAGTTGTAAAACAAATTATAAGAA